CTATATATATATATCTGTATAAGACTGCCAAGGGTTTAGAACCCTAACCACACGTATTGGAGGCAGAAGTATCAGGGGAGTTAGGAGAAGGTAGTTCGCCGGAAAACTTAGAAGAAAGACGTTGAGATTTTTGAACCGAATCTCACAGGCAAGTTTTATTACTAACTCTATCTCTTTGGCCTGTGTTCTTTGCATCTCTAATTCAGTTCCAGGAAGAAATAAAGCTAAATTAATTTGGTTGTAATTATTTGTTTCAAACCGTATGGGTTCTTGTAAGTATTTTCCGTTCGTGTTGAAACTGTTTGTGCTTGTTCTTGTTCTAATTGAATTTGATTAGCAAGTAATGAACTTAAATAACTTTAGAGCACTTTGGGACTTAGTTTTAGTCCATAGGAAAGTTGGTTGGAGGTACAAGTTAGCCGGACACCGCCAGAGTTGGAGAAGAAGGCAAAACAACATGTTTTCTTTTATGTGCAGGTTAATCGTTTTTAAACTATTTTGTTTAATTCTTGTTCCCATTGAATTTGATTAATAATCAAGGAAGTTAAATAACTTTTGAACACACAAGGACTTAGTTTTAATTAGTAAAGAACTTGGTTTGGAGTATCAACATAGCCGGACACCGCCGGAGTTGGAAAAGATAACGTACAGGGGAAGAGCCTGCTCTAGTTTGAGTAGAGCAGGCTCCACCAAAGAGTAGAGCAGGCTCTACCTAAGGTAGAGCCAGCTCTTGGGGCTCTAGAGGCGGCTCCACCTTGTGTGGAGCCGGCTCTACAAGGTGGTGGAGGCGGCTCCACCTTGTGTAGAGCCTGCTCCTCCAATTTTTGTGATTTTTTCGCCTTTTCAGTAATAGTTTTGGCTACGGGTTTCAGAATTGGGTGTTTTCATATGCAATTAGGAGCTACACAGGGATTTTTCAGTCGCATCTAAGTCTTATTAAGAAATTCTGAGGGTGTGTTAATATATAATAAATCACAAGGAAATCGGTAGATTAAACCGTTATGGTTTTAAGGGAACTTGTGAATTGTTTTTGGAGGTAGAGGATTTCAAGTGCAGAGCCTTATGGGTTGCTATTTATCTGGGAATGGACATATTGTTTAATCATATTTCTGTAATTCAAATTAAGCATGTTAGATTACAGAATGATTATATATTTGTAATGGACAAACTGACGTCTACATATATTAAAATGTATTTTCAGTTCTTGGATAATTAAGAAGTGTGTAAGTTAAGCATGCTCGATTATATATTTTTTGACACTGCTTAATATGGTTTAGTTGGTATTTACATTCAATATTTTGTATTATCAACTTACCGGATGATATGGAATGGTTTAAGTGAGCATATTAATTCTAATATTGACATTAGTATGTAGATAGGGGATTAAAGGATGGATTACACTTGTGCCCTACGTTTCTAAACTATTATGAGAACTATGTATTGTTCGTGTATGACAAGCATGCTATTTATACATTCTTACTGTACTTGTTATGGATGTGTTGGTATTGATGTTTATAATGTCATCTGTTTTATCAACGATTGGATGGATGGTATTAGACTATTTATGGATTTGTTGATATTGTAATGCTTACTGTCTTTTATATTATCAACACTGGATGGATGGATCGTATGCACCGGTATGGGACGGTGTCATACTAGGGGGATTAGCTCAAAAATGCTAAGTCCTACCTACTCTGGATTAAGGGATGGATTAACTACAAAAGTTAAGTCCTACCTGTATTTTGTGTCAGATCACTAAACAGTTGAGTGACACTTTGGTTTGGAATGGAATTTAAATATATTTTTATGGTGCCACGATATGAGCCTGAGTCTCAAAGTCGTTGGCTAGGGAGCGTATATGCATTGGGATGTATAGTTGGCTATGATGGTTGGATGTGTACCCTGCTAGGTCTAGGTAGTCATGCCCACCTCAGGTGCGTTTTGCATGGTGCCTACTAGTCAGGTTGAGACAGGCCTGTAGACCAGTGAGAGTCCTGTAGTGTGATTATATATATATGTATCTATGGACTATTTAGTTATTGTTGGATTGGTTAGGATGTACATGCGTATCGGGTCTCTGCTTGGGTAGTAGTAGTATAGAACTTGCTAGTGGGCCTGACCCACTTATTATTTTTCAGGTATTGGATGTTTGAGGTCTTAGAGCTTGTTCGAGCTGAGCAGAGACGATCTTTCATTCTACCGACGATGTAGGACTTCTTTCCAGATATTCGATTTGGGCTTGTATCTTCAATTATTTATTTTCGTTCGGTTTGGATTTTCTATTAGGGGTCCACTGGAGATGGATTCCCGAGTTGTAAACTTATGAGGTGTGGATTATCAAAGTTTAAATATGTATATTTGAGGTTTTTAATTTAGTATTCCTTCAGCTTATTATTATTTCTTAAATTCATTTTGTATTCTGTGTTCGATTAAATATTAATTGTTTGATATCCTTCGGATCTGTACTCGGACTTGATCACTCGTGGCTCTAGAATCGAGGGGTATCATACTTATTAATTTTCGACGCCTCATGCTCGAGCTTGAGGGTCAATGCTTGAGCACCCTTGATTAAGGCTCGAGCACCCCTTGGTAAGGCTTAAGCATTAAGGTACAATGCTCGAGCTTTTGGCCTTGTTGACTTTTCTTTTTCTTTTTGTTGTGATGCTCAAGTCTCAACACTTGGGCTTAAGCTCTAAGGCTTGAATTTCTTCAAATTTCACCATTTACGCTCTCGGCTTGCTCTGAATGACCTACAACGACTCTGTAGCTTCGATATCATCATAAAGTCTCGATTTTAACCATTTATTTGGGAAAGTACTTACAAACACACATTAAACATAAAATTAGTTTAATTATGGATAGAAGTATTTAGGGGCTCGAATATGCATATATTCAGCGCTCATCAGTAGATTATTCTCTGGCCAAACCAGTAGATTAGCCATTGGTTGCCCCCTGTGCACCACATGTGGTGGCACTGGTGGGAATGGTGAGTTATTCCTCCATTTTCCTTAATTGCCCCCAGTCCAGATAATCTCTTCCAGGGAAATTTAAAGGATATACTCGAGGTTATGGACGTGGTTGGTATAGCAACTGCTGTACCGGTGGTTGTGGAAATAGTGGAAGTTCAGGCCAAGTTACTAGTGGGTTTTGTGGAAGACTCACTACAGGAACTGACACCACGGGTGGAAGATGAGGAATCAGATGAGATACCGATTCTTAAACACTTTACTTCCAGCCTGAGTTGGCCGATCATAAACAACGATTGATAGCTGAGAGAAATTCTGGAGAACTTATGATCCATGTCATTAAGGCGGGCAGATATCCTACCCAATGCCTCAGCCAGTGGTGCAACTAGTAATTGTATCTCAGAACGTACTCTTGATTCTTCAGGACCAGGATTAGAACTTCTAGCCTAAGCCGACTAAATTTCTTCTTCTAGCTCTTCATCACCAGTTATAGGTAGACGGGTCGACTTTGATTTTGGTGGCATTGCAATCTTACCAGATGTTCAGCTGGGCGTGCAATTAATGTTCGCATAAAATTAGGACAATTGGAATGTGCAGGTGTGCCAGAATCTCAAAAGATTTAGAGAGGTCGAACTAAAAGGAATATCTTTTTGGAATGATCAGGTGATTGTGAAGTTTCTGATTTTCCTTCGATGAAAGGACTTTTAGTTAAGACTACAATGATATCTAGTTTATTGAAATGCAATACTGAAAATAAGTGCATGAATGTAAATGAATTGAAATAACTTGTATTGAAATTGCATGAATTGAAATGATAAGTATAGAATATTTGATTGATGTCATCGAGAGAGTTTGCAATATAGCCCTAAGTAAACTATTTATAGGCATTACAACCTTATAAGAAGGACCCATGTCCTATAAAGCAACTGTCTATTTTTTCTTTACGAAACATTTGTCCTATGTCCAACTGTAGAATCCTAACTTCCAGACCCACGAACTGTGAACTTCTTCCGCTGCTACCATGTGTCCCACATTCTTTTAACTGCTCATCTGAATATATTTATACCACGTCTTTGAACTGCTCATCTGAATATATTTATACCACGTCTTTGAACTGCTACTTCATTCCTTTTTGAAATGGATTTAGTGCATGTCAAACCACTATCTCATTATCCCGAGATTTTAGGAACCACTTTCCTTAGTTCCTTGATTTTAAACCCCTTGAAAATAGGAGCTTCTAGACTGAGTTGGGTAGTTATAGAAGTTTTATACGTGTCAAACCTAATAAACCAATCTCCTCCTTCATTATAGGAAGCATCCCATCGCACCATTTCATTGCCAGCTGTCATTATCTTGCCATATTCACCTTTCTTAATTTGCAAGATGTTTCAAGCGTGGGAATTCTTTTTCCTTCCAAATGTTGACATGTGTTGATTCAACGTTGGATTATGATTTAGTCCACTTGTTCTCTTTTTATTGCACCATGTCATCATTGAAGTGGCGGTCTATTGAACTGCCCACTTTTATGTGCCAACCTATGTAATATATAAAATTCTTATTTTTTTAATTTTTAACCTTTACTATTTTAAGTCACTAGATGGGACGACTCTCCAGTAATACAAGAGAGAATTTTGTTCCCTGATTTTTCATTTTGTCTGCTATTATAATAACGATGATTGTGAGGGATGATGAAAATGGTATATCATACGTCAATGTTATTAAAATATTAAAATATCAAAACATTTAATTTTTTATCCCATACTTTATAATCATATCTCACAAATATTGTCAAATTGAAAAATACGACATTGACATTTCAATTCAAGAGCAAAAGTATTTTTTTGCTAAGTAAAAAGAAAAAGACATTCAAGAAACTAAAATAATTAAATAAAATCCCCTGAGTTTATAATTATGAGTTTTTGTCACCAAAACCTACAATTAAATTATTGCAAAATGTCATATTGCATCCTTAATTAAAATTGAATTGAATTGAATTTCTCACCAAGCCCTAGAAGTGGAACCCTAAAATCACAAATTCCATTCCATAAAGGCTCATCATCGAGTATGAAACTACTCTCGTCTCCAAACAGACCTCAACTCCAAAACACGCCACTTGCATCATCTTTCTCGATCTCATCAGGGCATGTGCTTTCGTTCCTCCGCGGTTCTCGCAGGAAAAAGAAAAGAAAAATAAGTACTTTCCGTCCGAAACCCAAACACTCCGTCACTCACGTTTCCATACAAAAATTACACACATACCTCTATTTCGTCAGAGCACGTCACTGCACGTGCATCCTCCTCTTTCTCTCTCTAAAACTCCCCCCACTCTCTCTCTAGAACTCTTCTGCTCTGCAACTCTCTCTTCTCCAATCTCGCGTCTGTTATAATCAATAAAACACAATATATACAAACAGACACACACACCCCTCTTGGCTCGTACTCTTCGCCCCCACCCTCTCTCTCTATATCTGTCACTTTCTCTTCTCAAAATTGAAACAGCGGGGAGAGAGAGAGAGAGACGGGGCTGTGTCGTATGACGTGAAGAGAGATGCACGCGTACAATAGGCTACCGAGCAGTGGACACAACAGCCCGTCGCCGCCGCCGTCGCCGCTCCGGTCGCCTAGGCTCCGCCACAGCCGGTCCAAGCGGTTCACCGCCGGCCCGGCACCGCGAACCCTAGCCCAACGGCTCGCTTGGGTGCTCCTCTCGGTTCTACTCCGCCGGCAGGGTATTTTCCTATTCGCGCCACTATTGTACATCTCAGGAATGTTGTTCTACATGGGAACCGTTTCGTTCGACGTTGTTCCGATCATCATTCACAGTCACGCGCCCGGGTCCCTGTACCGGAGTCCGCAGGTTTACGCGAAGCTGAGGACGGAAATGGAGGTTGACAATTCATCGGCCGATGCGGTCAGTGACTCCCCAATCTCATTTCTTTGTTTTTCTCTATATATATATACATATCGTGATTTGGTTGTGTGGGTGATCCAATTGAGGTATTTTTGCCAAGATTTTGATTTAGGGTAGAGACTTGCACAATGCATTAGGTTATTGGAGTGTTGTGGCAATTTTCCACAATTGGTTATGCTTGAGAAAAATGCCAGAGAGGAGAAGCCATTTTTGAGCAATTTCATTTCAATTGTTTTTATTTTTTTCTGGAGAACTAAACGGGGCCTTGAGTTGGTTCAGTTGATGGATGAGTTGAGATTATATGAAGAAGATATATATTTTTTATTCTTGTTATATATGTTGCACTATGAGCTGAAACACTGACACTTGAATCAGAATTAAGGGGAATTTTTGCCATCTTGTTCATTGGCCATGTTTAGATCTACCAATTAGAGTTCTTTACTGATAAATAAAGTGGAGTATCTTGCTCTTTGCTGTGGATTGATGCATTTGATCCACACTGACCATGCCATGGTAGTCATGATGTTTGTATATTCTTTTTGTTTCATTGAAATGAATCTCAAGAGACTTGAGCAAAGTGAACATATTTCTGCAATTCAGATGTTCATAATCCTTTTTATTTCATTGAAATGACTCTCTCAAGAGATCTTTTAGTAAGTTAAACATATTTCTGCAGTTTAGGTAGTGATGAATGGTGTTAAAAGTCCTGATCAAAATATTATTTCTGTGCTTCGCTGTGATGTAATGTAGTTAGCTCAAGATAAAAGAAGGTATTTTTATATCGATAAAGGAGAGTAATGTGTTTGGTGGCTCGGGATTGTATTAAATTGGAAATTGTTGACAGATCAGTTTGGATGTGTTTTTGGTGAATGGGCTGAAATGATTTTTTGTTTGCAATTCCAAGTGGCCTTGATATACAACATTCATTAATGGGATTTTATTTTGAGGTTTTAGTATAGCAATGCAATTACAAGCAAAAGTATAATGCTTTAATATATTTTCTTTTAGGTGTTTGGATTCGTTTTACTCAGTAAGAATCATACTCTATTAAGTAATTGTGGCGATTATAACTTTAGAAGCGTCTTGCACAAGATAACTTTGATGGGGGATTTCTCTTTTTTTAGGGTGATTGTTTGAGAGGACTGAGGGATGAGAACTTTTTATGGTTGTCATTGATTGAGAGAACACATATGGTAAACAATCTAGAAACCTTTCTTTAGGGAATGAATTGACAGGATCTACAAATCATAATTGAATATTTATTTGTCAGGTATTTGGACAAGAGAGCAGGGAGTTTTCATCATGATTTACATGAAAAAAATCAGTGTTTTATCTATATTTTTGTGCTAATGAGAGTTGATACTATGAATTAACTGAACTTATAGGTGGACTGTTTATGTTCCTTTCTTTTGGCATATGATATAGTCCCAATAAGAAGGCTGGATTGAGAGTAGAAAAATAATCTAGAATGGTTAAACAATTTCTTATATTAGACAATGATTATTAAAAGGGCCATTGGTTGGTGCCCCGGTAAATGCTCAGGCTGTCAAACATGAAAACACGGGTTTGAATTCTAAGAGTAGTCATTTGATACAGATATGGAGGAGATTGTAGATGTTTTGGACTCATTGAGAGTTTGGAGGCGTTTTTTGGCCTTGTATAGTTTTTGAGGGCTGCGTTTCGCTTTTGAACGCCTTTTTATGCAAATATTACTTATCATTTATTTACACACACACACACAAATAGTATCAAGGATTTTTTATTTTTATTTTTTTATTTTTTGATTAGTAAAATTTCATAAAAGGCGCTCAAGAGGTAAGCCCTCCCAAAAGAATACTCAATACGCCAAAGGCGGCAAGTATAATCTCAAGCTATCCACAAAATCCAAAAGATGCCCCATAGATTTATAATTATGCCCCATTAACCCCAAAAAAACAAAGTATAAAGTATAATTGTATTTGAGAGACCAAATAGGAGTCTCCTCTCCATCAAAGGATCTTCTATTTCTCTCGCACCACAAACCACACCATAGACAAAGGGAAGTGGCCTTCCAAGCATCTTTGGCTCGGCTCTCAACTAAACAACCTCTCTAAGCCTCAATCATGTCCACCGTGGAACCGGAAGACACCCAAAACATGCCAAACGCAACCAAGAACATAGACCAAACATCCCTCGCCACTGAGCAATGAAGAAGGAGGCGATTCACTGATTCCTTCGTCTTCTTACACATGTAACATCAGTTCACCACAATCTGTTGCCTCCTTCCAAGATTGTCTAGAGTGAGTATGTATCCATTCTACTACTTCGAGCACACTCAATTATGGGGACCAGAATGGTTTATGACCCTTTAAAGATTGGTTTGTTACTTATGTTTGCTGTTCAAAATCTTGGTTAGGATTTGAATTCTAATTTGTGTTGCACCTTAAATGGAGTTTAATTAGTAGTAAATTAGTATGTGCGCTTGAATTGAAGGTTAAACTAAGCTAGATTGGGCTAAAACATATTGGAGCAATATTTTTCTTTTAAAAATATTATGAATTGAGTTTGCTAGATATAACTAAGACAGATTGCAGCTGCCGATTATTATTATTATTATTTTTATTATTTTTCCTTAGTTGGTACTCACACACACATGCCTCCATTGACGCTCGAATCCTGACATTCCTTTGGAAAGTAGGGGCCTGGTACCGCTAGGCCACTAGCCTGTTGGTTATTATTATTATTACTCCATATTATTATTTTGATAAGTTCAAACTATTATTGTTATTATTATAATTGTTACGAGTTGATTTTGTTAGATAAAACCAACTCTAGAATTGGTCACTTTTTGGCTTTAATAACTCTTGTCGGCTTTGTATTGGTTAGATAAATAATAGCATTGGCATACATGGTGTGGGAGTGGGACATAAAGATGTTGGCAGATGTTGGGAATGACTCTCTCTAAAATATTACTTTTAGATTTTGATGATGGATTGTTTTTGGACAGTCCTATTTGGTCCTTGCTTGTTTTTGTGGGCCGCGTTCCCCGTCTGAATGCTTTTTTATATAATCTTTCTTATAAAAAAAAAAAAAAAAAAAAAAAAATTGTTAGACTGGGAATCTATACGTAGTTAAAGCTATGAAACATTGTATCACAAAAAAGAATCAAGAAGAGCATATCTTATTGACATATTCACCAAATTATGGTGCTAGTGATGGACGTTAGAGCATTCCATGCAATTTGTTTCTTTAGGTTCAATTTTTCTCTTGGTGCTCTCATCTAATCATATGTTAAAAATTGTTTTTAAGGAACAAAATAGTGAATTGTGATTATGATATTGATTATGTCTGCTCTATTATGATTTTACAATTTGATTTGGGTTTGATGAGAATGGGATTTTGATTTATTAATCTCTAATTACTGTTGACACAAGGAATATATTTTGCAGATATCAACTATATGGAAACATTCTTATAAAGGTGGCGAGTGGAGACCATGCATAAAAAATTCATCAGGAGGTACAACCAATGTCCAAGACTCCACATTGAACTTGGGAAGCTTGTCATGTCAGTTTTTTTGCTTCAATTTTTAATTATATGGGTTACATTTAACAAAAGAAATTAAAATATATAGGTTGTATTAGGAGTGTAGCAAATAAACATTAGGAGAAACTAATTGAAGAAAATATGCTAAGTGAGTGGAGGAAAAGCATAATAGTACCAATTTATAAAAATAAAGGAGAGATACAGAATTTTGGAAATTATAGAGGAATTAAATTAATGAGTCATAAAATGAAATTGTGGGAAAGTATAATTGAGCAAAGATTAAGGAAAGAAACATCAATATCGGATAACCAATTCGGATGTATGCCAAGTAGAGAAGGCATATATAGATTGCCAAGGGACATAATTTGGTGGACTCTACAAAGGAAACGGTACATTTAAAACTTATAAATCTTATTCATGATATGTATAATGAGTCATTGACTCGAGTTAACACTACATATGGGGAAACTAGCAAATTTCCTTTAAAAGTGGGTATTTGCAATGGTATTAGACGAAATAACAAAAGATATTCAAGAAAACATTCCATGGTTTATGTTATTTGTGGATGCTATAGTATTAATAGATACATTTAAAGAAGCCTTGGCAACAAAACTTGAAATATGGAGAAATGCATTAGAATCAATAGGCCTAAAAATTAGGAAAACTAAATCAAAATATATGGAATGTAAATTTGATAAAGTAACAAAAGATGACAATATAAATATTACAATTCAAGACCAAATAGTTGCTTAAAATAACTATTTTTGTGACCTAGGATCAATATTACAAAAAGATGGGGAGATTGTGATATAGTAAGTAGGATTGGCTCGGGGGACAAAATAGAGAAAATCTAGTGGTATCCTTTGTAACAAATGAAAACCAAATAAATTAAAGGAAAACTCTATAGAACGGTCATTAGGCCAGCTATGTTATATGGGGCAGAATGTTGGGCTTTGGAAAAGTCACAAGTACAATGCATTCATGTAAAGGAAATGAGGATGTCACTTTGGATGGTCGGTGTATCTAGAAAAAGATAAGATAAATAATGAGCGTGTGAGGGGAACATTAGGTATAGCGCCTATAGATGATAAAATTAGGGAAAGTATATTGAGGTGGTGTGGCCATACTCAACATAGATCTGATGATGCACTGTTTGTCTAGAAGGTAATTGACAAAGAGGCCGACCAAAACGTGGGATGTAGTAAATAGAAACGATTTAAAAAAAATTAAATCTAAGAGAAGACAGTGTATCATAGGAAAGAATGGAAGAAACGAATTCATGTGGCTACCCCATTTATATTGGTAAAGGCAAGGATGATGATGATGGGTTACATTTAAGAGATATTTGAGGAATACTATCTAGGTTTTAGGCTTTTAGCAAATAGCTTAAGCTGTACATCCCACCCCCTCTTCCCCCCCCCCCCCCCCCCCCCCCCTCCCCTTCGGCGGTGGGGGAAAAAAAACCTTGCTGTATTGTATATTCTAATTATTCTCTAATGTCTCTGCCGATCTTCCAGACTAATTACTGAAAAAATAAGAATTGCTCTCTGTTAACTACCATCCACTAAGCTTAAGCTGTTAGAGAGGGTGTAACTTTAATATTTGTATCCGTCAACATGCTCCCTCACATGTGGCCTTCTTTCTGTCCAACACGTGTTTTTCAATTTTTTAATTAGGGTGACGGCGAGGTTTGAACTTGAGAGCTTTGGCTCCGATACCATGTTAATTACCATCTACTCTAAAAGCTCAAGCTATTAGAGAGCGTGTAACTTTAATATTTATATCCTTAAACACCCTCCATACTGGTATATTCTCTATTGTCCCTACCAAATCTTTGTGACTAATTTTTGAAGGAATAAGATGTATCCTCTTAACATGGTATCTAAAAGTTCAGGGTGAGAGCCGATGCATTCTTTCTTTGATTTTCTCCTTATTAATACCAGGTGGTGGACAAGAAAGTTGGATTTGTTGCTATGCTACGTATGAAAGTATTCTAACAGAGTTGTCTGTGATTCACATGATTAGGAAGCTCACATGATTGCTCTCTCTCTCTCTCTCTCTCTCTCTCCTTTGAATCCTATCACCTACTCCTTTTGCAACGTTCATGTGATGTGCCCTTACCTGATTTCTGTGACTTGTGAGGGTGTGTTGCTGTTGAGTTGGAGTGAGTAAAAGTGCCTCTCTTGATAGGAACCAGGTGGCAACTTACCACATAGCTGCTGGAAATGATTCGATAGATTAGTAGCTCAATTGACAGTTGTGACATTATCTTTTGAACTATTTATTGCAAGGTGTAAATGTGGTCCTGATTTTAGAGCTTCCATGTGTTGAATTTTATTTTCGTTATTTGTTAATGGACATGGTGTTCTAGAAATTGTATTGTTCTTGAAAATTTGCATCTAGAAGCTTTATTTCATATTCTACCCAGCAAGCCTAAATGCATTAGTTTTACATGATACGAATAAGTTATGGCAAAATGTGGATTTGGTGATTTCAGGCACGGCTGTTCAGTTTTTCTATTAAGAAAGCCGTGGATCCATTGAATTTAAAGCATTGTTATACCTTTTTTTTAATTTGGTTTAGAAGGCTTCAGCAGTTTGTTTGCTAGAAGTTGTGGAATCTTGATTGTCCATGCAGTCTTTACTCACTGTTAGCCAAGGAATTTCTAGTATTGTGAATGTGATACCTTGGGAAAAGAAAAAAGATAAAGTATAAAAATTGAACAATTCACTTTTGCTAATAAAAATTGTAAATATTCTTTTTCTTTGTAAAGTAAAGATTAGAAACAATTGCTGCTCTGCTTTAATAGAAGTAATCTCTTGAAAGCAACAGTTTGCTTTCATTTATGCTATTGCACCACCTTCACAATCTGCACCTCAAATAGCACCATCCCTCATCTTTTCCATCACTAGTGTTGCTGCCACCTGCATGACAGGAATCACTTCAGATTTCAGCAGAGAACCATAAAGACCTTATGTGTTGTTGGAACCACAGACATTATTACTACCTCCGGTGCCACCAGTTCTGGTTGTCACAACCCTATCATTACACTAATGACTAACCTCTCCTTTGGCCGCCACAAACACCATTAGCTTATTAGCCTACACTGTATTAATTGCAGCAATTGCTTCCTTTATGGTTGCCATCATTAACACTCATTTTATTCTTATAATCTATTCATTATGGAATAATTTGGAAGCTCCCTCATGCCCCTGGAAAACCCATTATGTTAGTTACTACAAGTAGAACTTTATGATTGTTGCACAACATTTTATGCATATTTTTCAACGTCTATTTAGCTCTACTCTGCCAAACCTTGTCTCTCAATTTTTTCATCAGTGCAACTGAACCTTGTCCCAACTCACATTTACAGATATATGTTATATTTTCAAAGATCCTATTCTCACGGTGTCATGACCATAATATATATGTTTTCATGTATTACTACAAATGCATATGGATATCTATATATTTGTATGTATGGAGGGTGGGGGGTATCGTGTGATTTATATTATATATATTTCCAAATTTGAATCAAAGGTCGTCGTGTTTGTTATTATAGGTTTACCTGAGTCAAATGGATACATATATATTGAGGCAAATGGTGGCTTGAATCAGCAGAGGACATCGGTAGTTATCATGCTTTAGTCACTATTTTCTTACAGATGTTTAAACTTTTATACTGGTGTTTTATAGTTGTATTTTAAGGTATGAGCTTTATTCACCTGTTTCCTCTGCATCGTTTGGTTATTTGTTGTGTAGATATGCAATGCAGTTGCTGTTGCAGGCTATCTTAATGCAACACTCGTGATTCCCAATTTTCGTAATCACAGCATTTGGAGAGATCCCAGGTTTGTTTTTATTTTATCTAATTTATGTATATATTAAGCAAAGGTGCTTGGTGGTGCAATAGTAGGAAATATGTATAGATTTTTCTGTATTCTACACTGAAATTGATTCTGGAATTTGCATGTATGTGCCATAGCACCATTTCTCTTGGCCAATTTTTGCCGAGGATTGACTTGTATCTTTGAATTGCTTGCTCCAGTAAGCAACTAAATGAATTTAGTATATTGGCAATGGTTTATGCCATGTTATTACCTTATATGCACACGTGTATATGAAGGGCAGCCGGTGCATGAGGCTTCCGCTACTGCCGGGTCTGAGGAGGGTCAGATGTACGTAACCTTATTTCTGCATGTGAGATATGTGTTTATATCTTTTCTATTTACATGTTTTGTAATTTAAAACACCTGGCAAGCCATATATCCATTCTATGAAAAGAAAATCGAGTTAACTTCTAAAGCTCTTTAGCTATTTGATGCGGGATGGGTGGGGCTGCTTCGATATCAAAATTGATGTAGAATGGGAGAGACTGAGAGAGACGAGAAGAAAAGTCAGAAGAGGGGAAGAAATCTCTATAATCAACTCAATATTCAATATTCAAGAAGAAATCTCTGTATTCAACTCAACATTCAATATGTTATAATCATAAAAGGTGTTTAGTCAATGTCCCAAGCCACACACACACACATTTATATATATATATATATATATATATATATATATAAGCATCAAATTAAAACCCTAGTTAAACTCTACTACAAAATAAACCCTAAAATACTAAATTTATAAATTATCCGAAAATTAAAACATTATTAAAATACTAATAAATGAAAATAAACCGTAATCGTGAAAAATCCCTAATTGTATTCATCTTTTTCTCATCTTAGGTGCAGATCATGTGCACTTCAAGCTCCTGGGTCATGTTCAGTTCTCCATCACTGTTATATTTGGAAATGCCTGTTCATGCAATTTTTGCATGTTAACATTAGACGCTGTTAATAAACTAATAATTATGTCTTATATCTTAAAGTACCCTAGTGCAACTTATTAGTTAACTAAAAGTATTAGCGTTGATCATCTTACCTTGATATCCTTGGATTTTGGAGTTATTTGTACGAAGGAATGTTGTACTGGCTGTTGTGTTTGATTTCTGTAAATGTGCACGAAAGGGGCCTTTTCTCAAAACAATGACAAGTGATCTGAATTCGTAGCATGCTTTTTAATCTTGGTCCATTATGTGCCAATGGCTATAAGGCTGAAATTTTTGATATCACTCATGAGAATTGTCTACCTAATGTCATTATTGCCATTAATTTTTTTCATACTATTAGGAGCCAAGGAACTGGTGTTTGATCCATTTATGTAGTCTGGACTTCATTTTAATGATTAAACGTTTGTACATTACTGTTGAAAGAGAGAGAGAGAGAGAGAGTATATGAAAACGTATATCTTATTAAGTAAGTAATACAATGGTGTTTATATAGGAGAAGTTACGGGAGTAGGTGAGTGGAGAACAAGTAAACCCTATACACGGTAATTCTATATATGGTAATGAGGGTTTGGTGAATGTGGTTACAGAATACAGAATACCCTAGTATACAATGTAATCTAACTGTACACGTGTGACAACTCATACAATACTGTACAACACTCCCGCTCAAACTGGAGAGTAAATGTCAATAACTCCCAGCTTGCTACATGTGGAATAAATATAGTTCTTGGGAAGCGCCTTAGTGAAGATGTCTGCTAGCTGTCTACTAGAAGGAACAAAAGGTGTAACAATCTTATTCGAGTCAACATTAGATCGAATGAAATGGCAATCTACTTCAATGTGTTTAGTCCTCTCATGGTGGACTGGATTGCTAGCAATATGAATAGCTGCCTGATTGTTACAATGGAGAGGAATTGGGTACTGGACTGAAATCCCAAGTTCCTGTAATAGAGTTTTCAACCAAGTAATTTCACAGGCAGTGTGTGCCAGGGCACGATACTCTGCTTCAGTACTGGAATGAGCCACAACTGGTTGTTTCTTACTCCATTAAGTTACTAGATTTCCTCATATGAAGGTGCAGTAACCCGTAGTGGACCGTTGATTTGAAGGAGAACCAGCTCAATCTGTATTTGTGTATCCCTCAATCCGAAGATGTCTAGAAGATCGATAAAGCAGACTGCACTCTTGAGATACTTCAAGATGTGTACAACTGCCTCCATGTGAGGTACCCGAGGACTGATTATGAATAGGCTCACAACATTGACTGCATAGGAGATGTTTGGATGAGTAATTGCGAGGTAAATAAGTTTACCTATACTGGGTCACCATCATCCACCTTAAGTATTACATTAGTCTCTATGGGTGTGTAGCTACAGGTTTCGAACCAAGATATCCAGTATCCTGTAAGAGCTCAAGAGTATACTTCTGCTGAGAAAGACTAATGCCTTGCTTTGACTAAGCCACCTTAATTCCTAGAAAATATCGAAGTTTACCCAAATCCTTAGTAAGGAAGGTAGAACTCAAGTGATGGATTAAAACTTGTATCCCATTTCTGTCACTGCCGGTGATAACGATGTCATCTACATACACCACAAGTGTTCAGCCTGGCTTCTGGTCATACCACGAGCTACCACTGCTTTACTGAACTTATCAAACCATGCACGCTTCAATCATGCTCCACGCTTCAATCATGCCCTTGTGGACCAAGGCATCACCCAAGAAATGCCGAACAATCCGAATATAAGATTCCAATAATCGTGTACCATAGGGTAGTGTAAGAGTAGAGTCAATAATAATGCCTCTCTTCTTCAGGTTATCCAATGTCAAGATCTTACCCCAAACGGCAGTCCAAACAAAGAATGCCACCCTAAGGGGAGCCTTAGAGCGCCAAATAGTCTTCCAAGGGAAATCAAAACCAGCAAAGTTGGAAAGACACAGAAACATGGATCGGACCTCGAATCCTCCATGGGAAGAGGGAACCCACATAAGAACATCATCACCCATTCCACCTACCTCCTGTTGATACAACATATCCAGAAGAGCGCAAGCCTCTTCCATCTCCCAATCCTGAAAATAACGCCTAAAGCGCTCGTCTCACGTAATCCCACTGCTATCAAGCCGATAGCAATCAACTACAAAGGCATGTCTATCAGTAGCGATTCTAAAAAGTCTTGGAAAAGAGCATGACAACGGCTGGTCTCCGCACCATAAATCCTCCCAAAACCGAACACATCTACCATCCCGAACTTTGAATCTGATATGAGAGGTGAAGAAATCCTAGCCTTTCCGAATAAATTTCCGCACGCCAACTCCTCCTGCGTTAGGGACTGGGCATGAAGACCACCCACCTCTCTTCCCCGTACCGACATGAGACAATCTTCCTCCACGGGCGGTGTCGTTCTCTACCAAATTTTATTTGCTATAAAATATAATAATAATCTCTTCAACTAAAACTGATTGAACCCTAGAAATTACAAGGCTTTATATAGAATTTCTTCCTCCCCAATCCCTGCCTTATATTAGCTAACTACCAAATATAAAATAAAACCAAAACAGGAAAGCTGCTGAAAATCAGATAACTACTCAAAAAGGAAAGCTGATGAAAATAAGGAAACTACTCAAAATAAGGAAACTTTCAAAACAAACACAAATTCCCTTGCAGAAATTTGAAATTCTGCCTGCATCAGTACATATGATCTGAATATTCATGTTCACTACGATAGAGAATTATAACCCACATTTCCAATCTGATGAGAAGATGAATTGAATTAAATTATTTTGGGCATGCCTCTAGCTTCAATTCAAAGTAGTATCCAACTTCTATCATTTAAATTCTGTAACATAAAAATAATATAGAGAGAGTAAAATGAAGAGAGAGGTGAGAGATGCTTTAGAGAGAGAGTGGCTACCATATAGGGAGAGATATAAAGAAAAGAGAGAAAAAAGAGATGGAGAGAAATCTGAGAAAGAGACGAGAAAGGGGCATTGTGGTCATTTAAAAAGGTTATTTTGGGTGTCCAGAAATTTTTTTTGCTCAAAATTGCCTGTCAACGGACGGGGCAAATTGCACACATTTTTCAAATGTTGAGTTGTTATATGCTCATATTTTGTGCACAATTTTTATATAGCAAGGGGGTTTCTTGCACTTTACCCTAATTGTAATTATCATGAGCTCTCTTTTGGTCACCTAGTTTACGAGTGATTAGTTACTTTTCTCCATTATCTTACTTTTTTTTTTTTTTTTCATGTATAATTTGTACTTTTTCTTTTATTCAGGAAAAAAATTTGTAGTTTTTTTTCCAACACATCTTTAAGAATTTTCTGTTATGTGTTAGACAAAAGAACATCTGTAATCTTCTGCTTTTTGTAGTCATAAAAAAATTTGAACTCATTTTCCTGAATGGTAATGAAACAAATATTTACTGAGTATGTGTTCTAGAAGGGCTTTGTCTTAGCGTAATGGTTTGTAGAGAAAGTATAGAATTCAGAAGAGTGAGGAACGTTGACTCTATATAGGTGAGAGATGCTTTAGAGAGAGAGAGTGGCTACCGTATAGGGGGGGAGAGAGAAAGAAAAGGGAAAAAAAAGAGATGAAGAGAAATCTGTGAGAGATAGAAAGAGAGAAGAGAGGGGCATTGTGGTCATTTAAAAAGTGTATTTTGGGGTTTTCAGCAATATTTTTTGGTCAAAATTGACGGTCAACGGACGGAGGGGGCAAATTGCATGCATTTTTCAAATGTTGAGTTATATGCTCATACCAAATAGGAAGGGTATTTTGGGCACAATTTTTATATAGCAAGGGGGTTTCTTGCACTTTACTCTAGTTATAGTTATCATGAACTCTCTTTTGGTCACCTAGTTTATGAGTGATGAGTTACTTTTATCCGTTATCTTATTTTTTTTTATGTATAATTTGTACTTTTTCTTTTATTAAGAAAAAAAATTGTACGTTTTTTTTTTGGAACACATCTTTAAGAAATTCTGTTAGACAAAAGAACATTTGTAATCTTCTGCTTTTTGTAGTCATAAAAAAATTTCGACTCATTGTCCTGAGTGGTAATGAAGCAAATATATATTGATTATGTGTTCTACAAGGGCTATGTCTTAGTGTAATTGTTTGTAGAGAAAGTATAGAATTCAGAAGAGTGAGAAATGTTGAAACCCAAACCCCCACCCTCACAGAAGGAAACTGTGTAGGATGGGTTTTTGTCATGACTTTCCAGTTTTGGTCGCCAAGGAGTCAGACATTCTTATTTCTCTTGTAGAGGAAGTTTTATAGCACTTCTTGGTGTGTAGTGACCATAATTATCTTTCCATTTATTCCCAATAATTATCGCTAAAGAGTCAAATACTCTTATTTCTCTGTCCGTTGGTTGGACTTTGTTGTTGCAATAATTATCTTAACTGGGGGCAAATTTGTCCACTCAAAATTATTGATTACATCAGCAAAACATCATCTATTGTGATGTTAGTCAGAATAGTTATCACTAAAAAGTAAAGATACTCTTCTTTCTGTGTCTGTTGGTTGGACATTGTAGATAGGCAACTAGAGAAGAGTGTTAGGAGTGTAATTTTTGATTATCTTTTGGAATCTTCTTAAAGTATCAACAATTCTCTTATGCTATATATATATATATGGGGCAGTAATTGGAGCATGTATGTGAAACAATGAGTTGGTAATTCTTTTGTCATTCCTTTTATTCGTTTCCCCTAAGTCATTATCCTATTGTTATACAATGGAGAATATGTAAAATGTGTTCTATTATTAACCTTAGGAATTTGCTTTTCACAGATGTCCATAATATTCCAATTATAATCTTTTTTATATTAGGTTTATAACACAAAGTAGTTTCATTTTCTTCCAGCCGAAGTTGTTTGACTTGGGCTTTACTTGTGCAGTAAATTTGGAGACATTTATGATGAAGAGTTTTTTGTTAGCTCCCTTCAAAATGATGTAAGGGTGGTTAACAAGGTTCCTGGGTACTTAATGGAACGATTTGCCCACAATATGAGCAATGTATACAACTTCAGGATAAAAGCATGGTCACCCATTCAGTTCTATAAGGATACAGTTCTGCCAAGGCTACTTGAAGAAAGGTAAGTTAAATTATGTATATGCTCTTTTTTCCTTTAGTCACTTCCATTTCCAATATCCATTACTATATTTTTTTCATGTTATAATAAGGTGGAGGATATATCCCATACTCATTTGCTTCTGATTTTGGATATCCTTTTTATTGGTAATAGACTATACATTCATTTCAGAAAATATGTTTTCTAGATCGAATTTGGTTGTAGTGTTGTACTCATGTATCTAGTACTGGGTTTGTTGAAGATTAACTATGGTTGCATAAAAAAAAAGGTTAAAAGAGTAGATCTGTAGATGTGCATAATTATGTTTTTTAGGTAAACTATAACATAATAGAAATGTAAAGAAAATGAAATGCTAGATGTATCTTGGGGGAGGGGTATTTTCAGAGTAGGAAAAATCTTTATTTCAATATTTAAATATATTTGGAAGTAAAATGTAAGGGGCAGTGTACCATTCACCACATGTCCACACCAATAGAGAAGTGGCAAATACTTGGTAAATACGATGAGCTTGGAAGACTTCACATGCTTGACAATTAACATACTTTTGTGCTTCCATTCTTCTACTATGGAAATTGTTCCTCATTCTATTTTTCTATGAATGTGCTGAAATACCTTTTGACTTGTCTGCAAACTGTGAGGTTGTCTTTGATATTGGGTTAATGTTGTTCACTACCCAATTCGAATTAATTTTTCTAAGCTTGGAAATATTGACAAAGTTCGAACAAAGAGGTTACTGAAATATTTGTAGTTTTCAGAAGGGTGCACATGTTTTATGCTTCTGGCACCATGAAGTGGAATCAATTTGTGGAAGTTGAAAGTATGACTGCTTGAAGACTTTCAACTTGAATTAGGGAGAACATGGAGTCCATTTTGTCTAATCAATGTTGGAAACTTGCATGTTATAGATTTCTTCTTTTTTTCTCCCTTGACCATTCATTCTGATCTGTCTTATTTTAGAGGAAGTAACAAAAATTTTAGGTATTTTATTTTATTTCTTGCTTGTCAATTGCAATGATAATGTCAAGTGAAAATTTTCATGGTGGCTAATGGTTAGTATTTCTGTTATGCATTTCCATTTTTCTTGGTAAGGCAGGTTATTTTTTCTGTTTCCTACCGAATTCTAATCTGATTTTTTTTTTTTTTTCCGTTAATTAAAAGCGTCTGTTTTGTAAATGTATAACTCAGGGTCATAAGGATTTCTCCTTTTGCAAATCGATTGTCATTTGATGCTCCTCCAATTATTCAGCGACTCAGATGCTTGGCAAACTATGAAGCATTGAAATTTTCAAATCATATACTAACTTTGGCTGAATCCTTGGTGGCAAGAATGAAAGAACTTAGTGCAAATAATAGTGGCAAATATGTTTCTGTGCATCTTCGGTTTGAGGAGGTTAGTTTCAGTGAGTGGGAAGTGCTTTGTTCTAGTTCTTGTATATATGACCTTCAGCAGCGAACTATCATCACAATATAGGTAGCAAGGTTGATTATTTTCTCATGTGCAGGATATGGTTGCCTTTTCTTGTTGTATTTTCGATGGTGGAGAGCAAGAAAAAGAAGACATGGAGGCTGCAAGAGAGAGAGGTTGGAAAGGGAAGTTCACAAGACCTGGTCGAGTTATTCGTCCTGGGGCAATCAGGATCAATGGGAAATGCCCTCTTACACCTTTAGAGGTAAAATTGTTTATCTTCTGTACTCTTTATTAAGTTCCATTGCATTACTTTCTGCTATATGAATCCATTATTACTGGGCCATAATTTACTCTCTTGAATTTAATTTGTTATATTAATGTTTAGCAAGTCATCTATATCCTTGTCTTAGAGTTGTTTGTAGGTGCACTTTATTTTTTTCTTCTCTTACAAAAAGAGAGAGCAATATTCTATGAAACAGTTTGTGCATGAGTTTCTATGCATTTTAATTCACTATGTGATGTTTAAAAGACTCTTTCTTTTAGTCATAAGAAATTCAGAAACGCAAGCTGGTCTTTTTAGGAAATGGTTTGTTGGTTTGACTCTTCAAACTAAAAGTTATTGGGAGATTAAAACGTGTTCTTATTAAAGTGCTTGGATTTCTTCTTTAATGAAGTTTATATTTCTTGTATGCCTTCAAACCTTTGTGTAATTCTCTGCTGGACTAATCCTTTAAACAATTCCAATTTACAACAATATGTTTACATCAATGGAGAAATTACTACGCAAAATTGAAAAAAATTCAAGAAAGATTGAAAGCTGTATTTACTAATTAATTCTAATTATCTCAATCCATCAAAACTTTGTCCCAACTATTTGTGGTAACATATGTGAATTTTATTTTAAAGTTGTGCTGTTTGGGATCATAAATTCAGTTCCAACAACACTATATTATCTCTATTTCCTACCATATCAATTGTGGTTTTTCTCCTTGCGGTAGCATTACCCTTAGGATGGGTCATGTCAGTCTTCTTTATTTTTGTAACTGTTGATCTCTGTTGTATATGGCGAAGCAATCTTGGTCAGTTCTTTTTCATTTAATCTCCAATTGGTACTACTTTTGTCACATGATCGTTTTTTTATTTTTTATTTTTTTTATTTTATTTTTGTTAATTTTTATTTATTACACAACTATCTCAACTTCCATAATTCAGCAACACTCATTGTGTGAACATGTTTTGTTGCTGTTGAACATTTTGTTTGATAAATCTTGGCTGGTCTTTAAGGCTGTTTTACTATAATTTTCCTTTTCCATCATCATAAATTATGTTGAAGCACTCTTCCATTTATCCCATTATGCTTTAATATTACACGCAACATCATTTCTAATGCCAATAATGTGGAGTATGAATAAGGTGGAGCCTGGGCATGAAAGCATTCATTCTTTGGTAGTCTTGGGCATTCAATTTTTGTTTCTTTCCCCTTTTTCCTTAATGGAATAGATTTTATTGACACAAATCAAAACAATAAAGTACACTTTTCCCCTTTTCTGTCTCTAAATTTTGAAACAGTTACATTGATATGTTCAATTGATGCTATAAAGAAAAATAAAATAAAATAAGACATAAAATAAAGAAATAAAAATAAAATGAGGAAGAAAGAGAGAGAATGCTTTGTTGGGCTGGGGTTTGATTGCAAAATTGTAAATTTGTTGCGTATTAGCAGTTTTAGAAACAAGCATTGACCTATTAGTTACGTAATTACACTCTATGTAGCCATCAAGAAATTGCCTCTACCAATGTTGATTTGTCATCTAGTTACCTAATAATTGCTAGCACTACCTGTTAGTAATTGGTGCCGCAAAATGTGTGGAAAAAAATATGAAAACTATGCATTTATAGTGACGAGAAAACTCTTCATATTTTTTAGAATAATTATTAATTTTTTTTTATTTCTATGGTTAGAAGAAAGAAGTTTATATTTTGTTAGTTCACTGAAGATTATTACTTTTTCATGCGTTAGATATGGGATGAGGCACATGCCTTGTGTGTTTCTGATGTTATAAGGTCTAGGCTTCAAAATTAGCTTTAAAGTTTAAAACTCAGACAGCTTTTAAGGAATTGGATGAGATAATTGTTTTCTTTGGGTCTTTTTTATGCTTCTCACTAAAGTTGACGTGAGAAAGCCCTAAAGTCGACTGAAAAAAAACAGCAATGTGAAGAAGAATAACTTACTGGATAGAGTCGAGAGAGAGTGCTAGAGAAGTTGCTGGAGAGACGATGAAGCCCTAAATCACACTGATTTTATGGACTGATTGTATCGAGTGATTTGGGATTTCGATTATTGACCCTTTTTTCTTTTATTGTTAGTGGAATGTATTAAATGTGGTAGAGTTCCCCATAACTAACACACGATCACCAACCGCATTGTAAAAAGTAAAAAAAAAAAGAAAAAAAAAAGAAAAAAAAAGGGAAGTCTTACATCATGTTTGCCTGTTAAATAAGCTAGTGTCTTTGTAAATTTGACTTGCCTAGGCGCAACTGTTGTGCCTTGAGGCACGCCTTTGACAACTATGGTTAGAAATTTCCATTGTATGAAGTTAATTATGAATTTTCTTGGCCTTTACAATAATTATTTTACTTTAGTTGAAAAGTGGAGTTAAAGTGAAATGACAAGGGCAAATATGGTATTTTATAATTTAATTTTGATTTCGTCCTGTGACTTCATTGAACATGAATGTATTGGATGAATTTGTTACAAAAACTTAACCTTGGGAGAGGTCGATGTAATTTTTGAATCAATAGGGTTAGGGGCGGAGCTAGGATTTTAATTCAGAGGGGGCGCAGTGTAAAAAAAAATAATAATAAAACATAAAAAAATAAGAAGATTTAAAAAAAAAAAAAATTACATACTATATATATCATTCTTAAGTGCAAAAAGAAGAATGTTAAGAAGTAGGGGGCCAAAAAAAATAATAAGAAGAAGAAAAGGGAAGAAAAATGAGAAATTTGAAAGGAAAAAAAATTAGAGTTTGAGTAAAGAAGGAAAATTGAACTTTTTTTTTTTAAAGGAAATCAAAGGTATACCTCAAAGTGGTGATTATTATTTATCCATTAATAAATAATAGAGTTCTTAGATTTAGTAAAATCCGAAGAAGACCCTAGTGAGGAATTACCATATCCTTGTAACCTAACTATAAAGGATTCCCGGAGAGCGGGAAAAAAAACTTGCTCTTGAGCTTATGAATTAATGTTTCAATTCCTTCAGATGACCTCCAAATTATCCTCTTCACCCCATCAAGCAATGTGAGGTTGCATTTGGAATCTTGTTGATCTTGTGTCCTAAGTGGTTTAAAATGTGACGTTGCATTTGTTTCCAGAGGTATTGGGCAAGTCTCCTCTGCACTCTATTCTATCTGTTTGTGTTAAATTTGGATATGCAAATATAAAATGTAAATCAAGAATAAGCAGAAGATGGAGAACACAGGCAGGCATATACATGATTAGGCACTAAGGCCTATATCCATGGACAAAAAGCCACGAAGGGTTACATTTTTATTATTCAGTATATTGCTCAAGTACAAAGAGCTTATATATAGACATGGTAAAGATAAGAAAATATGGAAGGTGTACAATAGTTAAAGGAGGCATCGTGATTGGTGGAGGATTTTGCTCCACCATTATATAGAAATATTTATAGTTGGAAGGAAATTGACCAGATAATCGTGATTGGTGGATGATTTTGCTCTACAATTATATAGAAATATTTATATCTTTCAACACTCCTCTTTAAGTTGGAGAATGAATATCATGAATGCCCAACTTGCCAAAGAAACGCCTCGAAAGATGATGAAAAGGTGTCCGGAACAAAGCCATGAAATTGACCATATCTTGTTGGGGAAAATGACTGGAACTACGCCGAGAAATGGCCGGAACTACGCCGAGAAATGGCCGGAACAACACTGGGAAATGCCTAAAACTAAGATGGGAAATGGGCCGGAACTACATCGAGGAACACTGAGGTGCTAAACCATCCGAAAAACGGACCGGAATTATGCCGGGAAAACCAACCGGAACTCGCTGGGAACTGGCTGGAACTACGCCAGTAAAGGAATGTGAAGACATAGAGAATATGCTCCTTGATAATAATACCAATACTCCCCCTCAATTCTAGATGGGATTACAAGAACATCTAGGATTTGACAAGAGAGAGATTTGTGTAGATCCTCGTAACAATACCAAATTTTTTATTTTATATATTTTTTTCGAACAGCGCTTAAAAGCGCGTGATGAAGCACATTGAAGGTGCATAGTCGGCGCGTGATATGAAGGTAGCAAAAGATTGCCACCGCATGAGGCGCGTGTAGAGCACACGATTGGCAGGTTACTAGAGTATGGTTGTTCCAACAACGCATGTGGGCACGTATGGAACAATTGATGGCGCATTCGGAAACCATATATATATATATATATATATATTTTTTTTTTTTTTTTTTCTCTTTGCAGAAAATTGAGGCGAGCAAAATGAACAGAGGGGGATCAGATCGCTGCGAATGAAATACTAGTCTTCTTCACTGCTCTCTGTAATCAGTAAAGGAAAGAAAAAAAAATGGCAGAGAGCCAAAAGGAGCAACAAAAAGACGATACAAATATGTTTCTCTGTGATGATCTAGGATTGATGTTCTGATGCCATTTTAAATTTGGATGTGCAAATATAAAATGTAAATCAAGAATAAGCGGAAGATGGAGAACACAGGCAGGCATATACATGGTTCGGCACTAAGGCCTACGGACAAAGAGCCACTAAGGGTTACATTTTTATTATTCAGATCTTTATATTGCTTAAGTACAAAGAGCCTGTATATAGGTATGGTAAAGATAAGAAAATATAGAAGGTGTACAATAGTCAAAGGAGGCACCTTGATTGGTAGAGGATTTTGCTCCACCATTATATAGAAATATTTATAGTTGGAAGGAAATTGATCGGATCATCGTGATTGGTGGAGGATTTTATTTTTCAACAGTTTGTCTCATGTTTAAAAGGGGATCATACATGAGGCAGGTTGTATGAACTTGATATGCATTATTGGACTCCTTACTTAATAGCTTAGATGTAGAACAACTTGCTTACGAGTATCTGAGCATACAAGATCACTGCGAATCAGGGAGGCTGAAAAGGTAAGGAGACTAGAAGAAAAGAATAAATAAAGAAAAGTCAACAATAGAAAAAGGAGAAGTTGAAAATAAACACGAATATTGGTGGTG